GGGGCCCTTTGCAGAGGAAGATGGTTTGAAGCTTTAGACTCCAGCCCTACTTTAAACTTTGGAAGAATCTTCCTACTTAACTGTTGAGGCAGGATGAGAAGACAGACATCTAAGCCAGATGTCTTGGTGGACACTAAAATATTTGTAGTTTCCTATTCTGGGACTGCAGAGGGTTTTTGAGAGGGTTTTTTTGGGGGGGATAATTAAAGTTCCTACTTGGCCTTCTGAGAAAATCTATTTTAGATTGTAAGTGAAGAGACCAGCACTGAGAAGGTATAGTAGCAATGTAGTATAGCAGTGACAGAAACTTAGCAAATAGCTATTGAAATTTTGCTTGATTTCATGGGAGTGAATTCCAGTAGCCTGTGGGCCCAGCCTCTCAGGTCCTCTGCTGACCACCCACAGTGCCTTTTATTACTTAGTGTTTTACTAAGGAGATATAAAAGAAGAATAAGATCTTACAACCAGGAGAAAGTAGAACAGAAAAAGCAACTGCAGGTGTGATTCAATTACTGTCTGTTTTTCTTGCAGGGTATGGTAGCAGTGTCCGGCAGTTTGTCAGTGCTCCTGGATTCCATTATCTGTGCTCTTGGCCCTTTGGCATGCCTGACCACACAACTACCTGAATTGAATGGCTGTCCCAAACAGGTCTTGGTGAGTTTTGTTTTCCTTAACTTTTTAGGGCTGTGGCCTTTAGGAGCCAGAAAGCCTCCTTAATGAGCACACCAAGTACTGCTCCTGGGGCTTGGTGGCACATGGCACTTCTATCATATATTGCCCCACAGCACGTGATACTATATTATCAACTGCATGCTACAGTTTCAGTGAACTAGAAAACATGCCATTTCTATAACAATACTTTGCAGAGAAGCAGCAAAGCTTAGTCTAGCCCTTAAGGGGCTGAAACAGAGGGACTTCTTCCTGCTGCTGGCTCTAATGTGAGGCATAAGCAGAGAAGCTCCTGCCATAGCTGACAGCAGCATGCCTGCGTCTCTAGCCCACTTTCCCATCTCTCTTTTGAACATGACTTGTCTCAGGGACCACAATGAGGCATGCCACAGTTGAGCCCTTTCTCCTTGTTTGCAGTCAAACACGCTGGACAACATTGCTTACATCATGCCTGGACTGTGACCTCCAAGAAGCTTGGGACAGAAACCTGTCTACCCCTTCGCTAGTTTATATATATATGTGTGTGTGTGTGTGTGACTGTTCCAGATCCTCCACTGATCTCTGGGTGTAGGTTTTTAATTTTTATATCTATATATACATATACATATATATATAATGTACAGTATATACATAGGATTATAACTACTTTGATTTTAATAATTTTATGAAATGGCAAGAGTTTAGCTAAAAAGGAAACTTTGGCATGAATGTGGGTTTGGGATTACTTTTTGTGTGAAAAAAAAAATCTGCCTTAAAAATCAGTGTAATTTGGGGACTAGGGGCTTATTCTGGGTGCAATGTGTATCTCGTAATAGACAGCTAAAATGTGATTTTTCCCCCCAAGCTTGGTTGTACCTCCAGAACCATCACTGACCATTTGCCTTACCTGTCTTATAATTGCAAATATAGAAAGATTATGGGAGGAGGCCAGCTGACTACAAACTGACTCAAAGTGACCTGAAGGGAGGTAGAAATGGCTTAGGTGGACTGATAGGGGACTCATTCCAATTCCTACTAAACAGGTATCTGTGTCTCTAATTTCATTGTAGCCATTGTTACCACAGAGTCATTGATACCACTGATAGCCTTAGTTATGTGATTCTTGGCAGCAGAGAAATAGCTTGAAGAGGGCAAAGCTGTTGGTACCACCTTTTGAGCCTACATTGGTTGGCCAAGAAGGCTTGGTCTGTAAAAACCAAAGCTGGTATCTTTAGTGTCAGCATTGGTTGGCCACCAAATCCTGAGAGATTCTGTAGCTTCTTGGTTCAGCTCTGGTTCCTCTGATGGGCAGATTGTGCTCTGCATTCCACACACACGTGGATCACAAAGGAATCCTAAAGGAATCCTCGGTTCTCAGTGGGTTACCTATGTGTGTATGTGAGCGTATATTTTAATTATGTGTATTTAACTCTTTAGAATTTTTTAGATTTTAATTTATCCTGTACATTTCTGTATATATAATTTAATAACAAGCCTCCACCAGCAGTAGCATGTGGAGTATACAAACTTGTCATTTCTTTGTGTCTGTCTAAAAGCTCCAGGTCATCCATATGTTAAGGTGTTATGACTCAGAAAGGAGCTTCATGGCCCTCAATAATGTTAGGAAGTGAAGTAGAAAGAAATGACACAATTCCCAACTGCCCTTATTCCCAAAGACCTGCATCCCCAGCTGAGCACTTCAGGGTTGTTTGGAAACTTGGTATGAGATTCCCTTCCCTGCCAAAACCATGCTGAGGTAACAATGCTTTCTTCCTCTGGCCTAAATGGAACAGGGCAGCATCACAGTAAGCTTTGGGAACCATGTAGTCAGCTGCCATCTTGTTAAATTCCTTCCCATAGCCTCACTGTGCTCCACAGCTTAGCACCTCACAGGTGTTCTGGACATCCAGTCTTTCTCAGCTCAGAGCAGTTTTGAGATGTAATCTGGGAAATGGAAAAAGAAACAGGAATGTGTGGGAACTGAAATCAAGAAGAACAGAAATTTAAATTTCAGCTAACAGGTCAGAACCTCATTTGAACCTGCAGAAGTTTCCTTTGAGAAACAGGGTATGAAGGAGAGGCCAAGAAGACACACACAGTGCAGGAAGCAGAAAGCAGCCAGCCCTCCCTTGTCATTGCTCCAGACAGCAGTGAACTCCTGGTGAGAACCGGCTTTTTTGTGTTTGTTTTCCTCTGAAGCCCAGCCCTGTTGTATTTGTATTAAAGATTTGTACACATTTGTATAATAATCTGTAACTTGTGGTATTTGGTACTATTAGAGGAAAACTTTGGATTCAGGCCTTCTTGCTGTTTTTATATCATTGTTTTATTTTGTTTTTTAAATAAATCCTAGTGGGTTGATCCAAATCCTATTACAGTTGTATAAAAAAAATTTTTTGTACTTATATTAAAGATCTCATTTTTAATATTTGTAGTCCAGCCCTAGCTGTCTTTTCCCTTGGGTGAATTATAGTTGCTATAAAATTATAAAACTGTTATTTACTCTATTCTACCCTAATTTTTCGCTAAAAGGGAGCAGGAGGTGAAGAGATGGTTCAGTGGTTAAGAATACTTCCTGCTCTTGCAAAGGACCAAGTTAAATCCTAGCTCGGGAGGATCAGGCACCCTCTCTAGCCTCCTTAGGCATCAACACACAAGTACATATACACACAGAGAGATACACAGACATACACATAATTAAATTAAAATTTTTAAAGCTAAAACCTGAAATAAAGGTCAAGTTTTCATAATCTTATCTATCCTGGATCTCAGGCTCCCAAATATCATTTGCATATTATAAAACTAGAGAATCTGATAATTGTGGCTCTAATGCTTGGCAAATGAAACTGAATACATTATGGTATTGGCCTAAATCAAGTATCCACCAATTTTTTTGGTCAGGGATGCATGAAAATCCTGTGCTGAAAAATATACAGTTCATATCCCAGGAGCTTCCAGAGTCTTGTCTGAAGGAAAAAAAAAGACTTGCTTCTGTCTCTGAGTCTACAGCCAGCCAGCCTAAAGTGAATGTTTGGTAATATTATGAACATTAAATATATGGAAATTTGACCTTTCATGGTTAAAAAAGTTAATGGAATACAACATGTTAAAAATAAGTAGGGCTGGAGAGATGACTCAGAGGTTAAGAGCACTCTTACAGAGGTCTTACTTACAGAGGTCCTGAGTGCAATTCCAGGCAACCACATGGTGGCTCACAACCGTCTGCAATGAGGTCTGGTGCCCTCTTCTGGCCTGCAGACAGAACACTGTATATGCAATAAATAAATGAAATCTTTAAAAAAAAAAAAATAACATTTTATTATGTAAACAACATTCTGCCTCCATGTATGTATGTTGCATACCTGAAGGTGGCAACAGATCTCATTAAGGATGGTTGTGAGCCACCATGTGGTTGCTGGGAATTGAACTCAGGACTTCTGGAAGAGCAGCCAGTGTTCTTAACCTCTGAGCCATCTCTCCAGCCCCTAAAATCTTATATATATAAGTAGTGGGGGCTGGAGAGATGGCTTAGCGGTAATGAACACTTCTGGCTGTTCTACCAGAGTTACTAAGTTCAATTTTTCAGCAACCACCTGGTGGCTCACAACTATCTATCAAGATTTGGTGCCCTCTTCTGATTAGCAGTCAGAACGCTGTATACACAATAAATAAATAAATCTTTAAAGAATTGTAAGTAACAAAATAAAACTGGTATTAGAGGCTGGGTTTTAATGATCATGACTGTAATTCCAATACTCAGCCTAGGGAGAATATATCATTAAAAAAAAAAAAAAAAGGCTGCAGAGCACTAGCTTAGTTTGACAAGGTCCCAGCACTGCCAAAAATGGTTCACAGGCACTAGCTGCCACGTTTAATCTCTGAGACCTACATAATGAGAGAATTGATCCCTGAAAGTTGTGATCTGACTTCTGTATTCACCATCACACACACACACAGAAGCACCTTCCCCATTTGCCAAGTAAGAACGGGCGGGTGAGGTGGCTTGCCACTGCCCTGGGCTTAGACGGAGTTAATTCTCTGTCTCAAGGGAGCATAAACCCAGGCGGTTGCCTCCTCTGGGCTACCCACAGGGTGGCACGTGGAGCAGTAAAACATCAAAAAGTCAGGAAGGCTGTCACTCTCAGGGTTAAGTCCCCAGGACTAAAGGCTATGATACTGATTCAAGACTAAGCTTGAGCTTGTGTAACCTGACCCAAGTCTTTCCCTGGCCAGAGACGCAGTTTCCAGATGTGAAGACTTCAAGGCACCACGGTAGGGTGAGCTGAAGCCTTCCAGGGGCGTGGCTCAAAGGGCGGGGCCTCGGGGCTGTGCTTCAGAGCCCCCGCCCCGCGGGGCCGGCCAGCAGGTCACGTGACGGGTCGGCGGCGCCGGCGGTTGCTGTCACCTGATTCCGGGAGCCGGTGGCAGCGGTAGCCGCGGCAATGGACTTTCTCCTGGGAAACCCGTTCAGCTCTCCGGTGGGACAGCGCATCGGTGAGTCCCGGGAGCCGCGCGCAGCCCGGCCCCCGTGTGTAGCTCTGGCCGTGGACCTGTCGGAGTCCCCTGGCTAGAGCCAGGAGGAAGAAGGCTGGCGCGGCGCTCTTGGCTCTGCCCCGCCTCTTTCATCTGATTGACAAGATTACAAACCAATCAGAAGCCTCTTGTGGGGATTGATGCTGAGGGTGACCAATAGGCAGGGGGATAAGGTGGATCCAGGCAGGTGGGGCTCAGCCAATGCGCGCGTGCTGGGGTCCAGAGTAGGAGAAAGTTTGTGTTAAAGGGACTGCTGTAGTGAGCGGGCGTTGGGCCCGGCGCCGCTGGTCTCGCGCAAGCCGAGGGCCCCTCCCAGGTTGGCCGCGCTCAGGTCTTTCGCCGCGTCACCGGCCCCTCACATTCCGGGACACCGGGGTGTCTGGGCTCGGCCACGCCTCTTTCCCCGCGGTCGTGAGACTCGGGTTTGTGTGACGTCGCCTCCTCGCCTGTAGTTAAGCCCGGCCTTCCTGGGCTTGTTTGATCATTACATGCATTATTAAGCGCAAGGAACTGAGGATGCTGCCTGGCACATGACTAAAGCTTGGTATTGTCACTGTAATACCACCTAGTGGGGCTGGAGCCCGTGGGAAGGTCCCAGCTCTCAGTGCCTAATCTCAGGCGGAGGGCAGGCGGCGACCCAGGGATGGGTGGTCTGGGTGTGACACACACACACACACACACACACACACACACACTGGTCTGGGTGTGACACACACATACACACACCCTTTTTGTCTGAAACACACACACCCTTGTCTGAAGGATCCCTACAGCATTGTGTAATTCTTTTTGATGGCCTTTCTCCTTGGATCCGGACTGGGAATGCTGGATCTTTTAGTTGAGCCAAGGCTTCCCCGAAGTCGTTAGCCCAGCTTTGTGTTATAACCACCACTTAGGCTGTTAGTCGCTCTTTGGAGATTCTCATCAGTTCTCTGCAGGCAACTGCTAGTGCCTGAAACCCAGGTGCTTCACAAAAGCCCCACCTTTGAGTCCTTGTTTGGGACCTGGAAAAAGAAGGCAACCCTTTTCACAAACTTCTTATGGAAAAAAACAAGCTAATTAATCTGGTCTTCAGAGCCTACCACACCTGAGACTTTCTGAATAAGCTTATTGAGGCTCAATGTGCCCATCAGTTGTTCAAAACTCAACATCTCTTCCTACCCTGAAAGGTTGCCTTCCTTGGTGGGCAAGAAGCCTTCTGTCTGACAGAAGGCTACTATATCAATACCTCAGCGCTGACTACATCTCACAGCTAGACCCTCTCTGCCTTTTTCCATGTCAGAATTGGCTGGACCCATCAGATTCAGACTAGCAGCTGTGGGGTTCCCAGTAATGCTCTTTGCAATTAGCTAGGAGACCACAAATTTTAAAACCAGAATTGGTGGCTCACACTTATTATCCTAGCTCTTGGGAGACTAAGCCAGGAGGATTGCCATCAAGTCTCGGGCTGGCTGGACTACAAAATGAGTTTCAGGACAGCATGAGCTGTAGAATAAGACCCTGATTCAAAACAAAAAGACCAGTCTGCACAGTCCTGTTACTGGGGGGGGGGGAGGGGGAGAGTATTGAGTTCTACAAAGGGAAGGTGGTGAAAACTGAGACACACCCAAAAACCCAGTGAATTGATAGCACAAGGGAAATGAGCCTTCCAGGGCTACTAAAGAGACTATACAAGAGCCCAGTGTGATGGAGCATGCCTACAATCTCAGCACTCAGGAGGCTGAAATAGGAATATTTGTGTTCAAGTCTAGCCTGAACTATGTAAAGAGCCCTACCTTGAACAACAATATCAGTGTTCTATACTCTTCCATGTATAGAGACAGAAGTACTGGAGATCTAAAGGTAGGTGTGTGTGTGTGTGTGTGTGTGTATGTATGTATGTATGTATGTATGTATGTATGTATGTATGTATGTCCGAGACAGAGTCTCAGTGTTGCCCAGGTTGGCCTGGAACTTACTGACTCAAACAGTCCTCCCTGATCAGCTTCTAAGTATCCAAGATCTTGCACCTGTAGCATTGGGCCTGGCTGGCTGTGATGATCGATGGCCAGGTTTTAGCTGCTTGTATTCTGTAATCCACCCCACCCACTTTTGCTACAGTAGTAAAATGGAGTATTCTCATGTCTAGCCTCATGCCCTGAGAATAGAATCTTGTATGATTGGCATACTAGAGGACAGCAGTCACTAAATGATGCTTGCTAATCAGGGCCCAGTGTCACTGGCCTCACATTCACATACACCTTGATGCTTGCTGATTTCACTGCCAGCAGTGTCTGCTTCTGGGAGGAGCTTGGCTCATCCCTTAGAGCACTAGGCACCATCACCTCCCTGAGACCTTTCCTAACTCGTGCTTTGATTGCTGCTCTTTTGTTCTCTCATCACTCTGCTTCCTGTAGGCACAAAACAGCTCTCACCTCAAAAGTAGTTTATCCCTGAGCCAAATATGAATTGCTGTGACCCAGGAACACAGATTCCTATCACCCCAAATAACATGTTCCAGTATGGGAAATGGTTTCATGATGTTTTTGTAACTGCAGAACAAAAGCAAGCCAGAAATAAGGTAATTGGGTTACAGTAAAGCACAGAAATCTATCCTGCATATCTCAGGTGCTAGCTGATGGCATTCCTAGCTCTTGGGTTGGTGGACACCAGTTTTCTATTAACTTATTCCAAAAGTGTTGCCTGATAATCACAAGCTTGTTAGGTTACTCACGGATATGAGCAATACATGCTTACTAAAGGGTCTAAAGCAAGGTCATTTGTCTCAAGATCTGCAACATTTCCACTCTCCACAATCACAAAGTTGTAGTCAGTCAGCCTTCTAACATCTTCGACACAGGAGTAGCTTTTCTGAGAACTTCAGTTTGTGTGCTTCAATTCTCTTGCTTGTGAATGGTTGTAAGAAAGCCAGGTCCTTGACTACTTGTGCTTCAGTGTTTTCGTAGATATGTATGTAAAATACATAAATATATAAGCCTGTGGCTTTAACAATTGTAATACAACCTTTTGGATTAGTTATGTGTATAGATAATTAAATTCTTCATATAAAAGTTAAAAAGAAAGAAAGGAAGGAAGGAAGAAAGAAAGCAAGCAAGCCAGTTCCCCAGAGAATGCCTGCACAGCCAGAAGGTGTAGGGAACATCAGCTCCTGCTAACTCACCATCACAGGGATGCACCACCATCCCTGCAAGTGTGCCCTCAGGCTAGGCTTGACTTGAGATCAGGAGCTATCCCTTCCTTTCCTGGTGCCTTAGCACCTAGCAGAAGGTGAAAAAAGAAGAACATGGCTGCTTCTAGGTGTGGTGGAGGAGAAAGTTTGTTGTAGACTAAATGAAGAACATAGTGAGTGAGACAGACCATGTGAGGAAATAGGGAGGGAAGAGGAGATAAACACACACACACAGAGAGAGTGAGAGAGAGAGAGGGTAGAGCTGTCCTTGGATTCCCAAAGCCTACCCATGGGCCCATAGACAGGAATCAGAAATGAATGGCCAGCATCAGAAGGTTCCTTTGGGGCAGATAAGCTAAAAACCCACAGGGTCGGCCATGCTGTAGACACTGAGCAGTCACTGTCTACTGCTAACTATTGCAGTCTTATCTTCCATCCCCATCTGTAATGAAACACAGAGGTGCCCCCACTCCCTCCCTTCCAAATGACTGTTGAACAGTAGCTGAAAAGTAATGGGAATTGGGAACAGTTAGTACTACAAGGCACAGAGGGACAGTGTGATGTTAGAAGTCAGTGCTAGGTAAGCAGCACTTACCTGGACCTGTCAGAGATGTGCCATTTACCTTATTCATAATGAGCATCACTGCCCACTCTTGATGAAAGGTAGGAGTTAAAGGATAGGGGCCCTTAGAGGACTCTTATATTGGCTGGCAGGGTGAACTAGAGCAGGCTTACTCTATAAAGGACCACACAGTCAGTCCTCAAGGCTTAGGAATGCAATTTGGTCTCTGTTAAATACCTCAACAAGGCCATTATTACATAAGAGAAGCCAGAAACAATAGGAAAATGAAAGGGTGTGCCCATGCTCCAATAAAACTATATGGGCTATGGAATTTGAGTTCATGTCATTTCCATGTGCCATTAAGTATTATTGTTGTCAGTGTGGTGTTACATTCCTTTCATGCTGCACTCCGGAGGCAGATGCAGGCAAAACTCTGTGAGGTCCAGGCCACCCTATCTTAAAACAGTGGCTACATAGGGCTATGCCTTGGCTGGACAAATACTAGTAAAAGGCCCAAGGTGACCTTGAGTCAGAACACTAGCTCTGTGTCCTGGAGTAGGTTATTAACCTCACTATCTTGTTATTAACCTCACTATCTTCTAGTCCTTCATCTGTAAAAGGAGGCTAATAATAGCACCTGTCAGGTGGGATTGTTGTGTCATGGGTGGCATTTGAAGCACTTGGCCTGGTGCCTGCCAAACAGGAAGAGTCCACGGCTGGGGACTCTCATTGGTGGTGTTACTGTTCTGGGGCTCACTAAATGACAGAGCTAAGGTAACAATGCAGGGCCCAGACTCCAGTGCAGCTTTTGTGTTAGTCTTTGTGTCCCTGGTATATGAGCAGTCACTGGCTGGGTGGCAGCACATTCACAGGCAGGTCAGGTTTCAGGCTGTAAGATGGAGCCAGTTTTCCTGGGGATAGGGCTCAGTCTGACTGTGGACTGAGCTAGTGAATAGGTTTTGTTTCCACATGGAGCTCTGAGAAATGAAAGTAAAGTTCTGGATTTCTGCTCTCAAGGGGTGATGTTTGGGCAGCTAAACTCAATTCCTCAGTGTAGAAACTATCTTGGGGCTGTCACTTCATAAGGAGCCCAGGAGCCCGGGATTCAGGACACTTTAACTCTTAACCCCATGATGAAGGAGGTCCTGATCTAGTCCAATGCTCTCATACTGACACATTCACTGCCACTTTTTAACCTTTTGTATCTGCATGCCTCTTTTATTATTATTT